ACCCCCCCCAGCCAGCCGCCCCTGGGGCCAGGGCAGTGGCGTTGCCCTCTCTGCAGCCCTCTGCTGGGTTGGCGGGGGGATTTCTCCCGGGGGCTTCGTTTTCCTTTAAACCGCCCTTTGAGAATGTTGTGGCAGTGATACCCACACAGCCGTATTCAGAGACAAATGCAAAGATTCGTTATTTCGTCAGAGCCTGAGAGGTATTTTTCCATGACTGAACGGAAGAATTTTATAATTTTTCTTTTAATGGAAAAGAAAAACCGTCAGCAGGAATTTTCCATTAATGCACAAATGATTTTAGAATGGTCGAAAAACATGTTTCAATGAGACTTCCACAATGAAAAGAAAGTGCAGATGGTGCGGGGACTTAAGGACTCGTTTCTATGGTGTCTGGCAATTTTTCAAGCACCCAGGGTGCGATTCTACCTGTTAATTAGATCCTCTGAGTATTCAAGACACATGAGGCTTTCACTTCCATGCTTTACGCCATAGGCTCATCGTTTGCAGAAGTAGCGAAGGTCCTAGTGCCCCTCTTCAAAACAGTAACAAACTAAGTGCAAATAGACAGAAAACTCAGCAATATATACCTTTAACTCTTCTCAGGAGTGCGCAACATCAAAGGTAGGACTGGAAAGGCAAAGAGGCTTTGCCTGGCGAGCAAGATCACTTGTGCTTGTTTGAGAAAGAGGGGGAGGAGAGAGGGGAGCCAGGGCAAAAATGCTCTCTGCAAGGTAAATACCTTTTAGACAGAGACCTACAGTAAAAATAATGAGTATCTGTTAATGGAGAGATGCTCTGTAACTGAGATAACCCCCAAATCCCTCCTTTTAAAGCAAATACAACATGAATTAAACTGAGGTATCCATTGCCTGTCTGCTTACAAGTGCCATCTTTCCGATAATGGTTCAGAAATGTAAAAGGCTATTTTAAATAACAAATAACAGCCAGTTAAAGGGTTCTTTCTCTTTTCTTTCTCTTTCGACCATTTTTGCATCTTTACAGAGTCTGTAACTCCTCAGGATTAATTGGAGTTTTGCTCGAGTAAAGATTGCAGAATTTGACCCAGAGAATCAAAAATCTGTCTTCATCCACCCGAGCAACATCAAAGAAGTCATTTGAATCAATCCAGATCTAAAGGGGTGCGACTACAAAGATTTGCAAAACAATGGCAGGGACATTTCCAGGAAAACTCAGCAGTAGAAACACACAACCTGGCATATGTGAATCAAACTTTCCTCCTCTTCACAAACATTTACATTTACAACAGCAAATGAAGACTTCCAGTTATTAACCTGGGTGTATTTTAACTCAGCAATTTTCACAGATTAGTGGTTCGTTATTACTATTGTGGAAGCCTCTGAGACAACTCCAACACAAGGCAAATGATTATGTAAATCACAGATTTAATTAAGGAACTAGCTATGACATACATGCCAGTAATTGCAAATAGTAAAATACGAATAGTAGCTGTGACTCATATTTAGTTTGTAGATAAAAATGGCAAAGAATAGAGTGCTGAGTAGTTAGATATAGCGGTTGGAATAACAAGGTATTGAGGAGGGGAAAATAAAAGTTCCTGAATGCTGCAGAGTGATTCTGACATCTACACATTCAACTTGAGATGGAAAGGATCACTGTAGGGTAAAGCAGCCCCCAAAATAGGGCGCAAGCCTTAATGTCCATACCCTTACCGAGAAACTGCATGAGAAAAAGTCAGACAAGTGAGGACGCAGGCCTAGAAGCCAACAGCACCAATAAAATATGAGCTACTATAAAAGTCCCTGCTGATTTCCATGTTTTGTGCTAGAGCCACAACTGGTCCCTTCTTTTTTTTTTTTTTTTTTTTTTTTTTTTAATATATAAACCTCACTGAATATCTTTGCGGCATCAGTGGTTTCTTTTGCATTCAGAGCAAGTCTGAATTGACACAGAAAAACAAAGTTCAGATGTGCTCTACATTAAAAATAATAGAGTCTAGAATATCATCATCAGATTCAAGATGATCTGCGAGAAACTCAGTCTTGAGCTAAAGAAAAAAGGAGATTTTCAAGAGTTTCATTCCCTGGAAAGAAAGGAGATAATGATTACATGGACAAGATAGCATGAATGAAAAACTGCCTCCCAGCTGCTAAAAGTGTCAAGGAAGGAAACTGGGAGGAGGGGTAAGGTGTGCTTTGTGAGCTTAATTTGTTATTGACAGGGAGTCACTGAGTGTAACAGCACTGAGTTTGCTTGACATTGAGATTCAGTCTAGCAACCAATTATAGAGATTGGGCTGACATAATTTGCAAGTTTCTCTAAGGTAGAACACATGGAAGAAATGACCCTCCTGTGGTATCAAGAAAACCCGTCTACACACAATGCATTAATTTCAAGCTGGGCTGAAACCCTTTATTTTGATTCTGCCCCTGTTTTAAACTGCTTACTACCAATTAAGAATTAGCAGCCCTGAGCTCTGAACTCTCTAACATATTTTCTTCAACTGAGTCTGTCAGTGGGTAGCATTTTACTGAGATCCTTTGTTAATTGTAGAACTCAAGGCTGCTACTGCATGGTTATTCTGTTCTGCCTTGACCCACTGCTCTCCTCATGCATAGCTCCCCATTACTTCTGACAGATCAGATTTAGTGATTTACGGATTTACAAGTAGTAGATGGAGTTTCTCAGGAATTTGCACTTGATAGCCTGAGTCTCAAATTATCTCATACCGCACACTATTTTCTGTTATATTTTCAGTCCAACACAAAAAAAAATTGTTTTACTTAAAACATGTATTTATGCTGCTGTAGTAACAAGGTCAAACAAAACCACGTTCGAAAATTCCAGAAAATATCCAGAAACAACACATCTCCTGAACACTTACTTCTCAGGTGGGCAATAGAAGTGGGGCTAGTGTGTTACAAAAGTCAGTGCTCCTGAACACTTTCAACCTTTGTTGCCTTCCTTAGGAACAGAGAACCTTCAGTACTTATCAAGACACCATAATTTTTCAAAATACATGGATTGGGCCTCAGGTGCCCCCTCATTTGCAATCAGAGAGGCTTTAAACTTGTGTCCCTTGAGTAGTGTGTGAAAATAGAAGAGGATTCCCCTTTGCTGCAGGAGGCTGGAGACCTCTTCTCCTAGGGGAAGATGCTGGTACAAAACCCCTGTACAAAACCACTGTGCAACCAACCACAGCAGACTGAAGGAACAAAGGAAGCACAGTGCAGAGACCCATGGGTAGGGTTTATTATAGCTACACCTTTTCTCAGGGTTAAGTTCTCAATGAACAATGAACAATTAACTCTGCCATCAATTCAGCATGACACGGTGACAGCAGAGAGTACTGAGCAGGCTCTAGGAGTTTAGAGAAGGCATCTTGTCACAGGGACATCCAAGTTTGCAACTAGTCTAGGTTACTTCTATTTGAACATACGTACAGCCTCACGCTAAAAAAGTGCCCTTCTCTCTGGGCTGCAGTATGCTGGAGTAGGATTGATGGTCTCCACAGAGATGTTTACGTAACTATCAAGAGTAAAGCAGCTATGATTCAGAGCTTTTGAGACTGTAGGGGCAAGAACAGACAGCAGATTCTAGACACAAATCCAAAATAATACAAATGTTTATTGATTACAACCCTTTCTGATTAGTGATAGCAAAGCTTTCTCCCCCAAAAGTGAACAAAGAGTGAGCCTTTTTTTTCTTTTTTTAAATTTCTTGGTGATTCAATGCTGTATTTTTCACTAAATCACAGTGAATTTTGACTAGTGGAAGCAGGGTTTTCAGGAGGAAGGAACTGAGTTGCTTTTGCACTGTTTAAAAGTACTTTTCCTTGCAAAATGCAAGAAAACATGAAAATTCAAGTGTGATGCCCTAATACCATGTATCCACACTATTTAATCAGCTGAGCTATTACTCATAATGGCAGTTAATGGCATTTAAAAGCATATAAATCTCATTTAAATGCTTTTAAACTACAGGTTTTAATATCAGCATTACAGAGGCTCCCACCAGAGGGGTTGCCATTATATGATTACGATGTGATGTGAACAGAAAGGATATGAAATTACGACTGTCCTCCAACCCTCCTAGTCTTAACTTCTACTTAGCCCATGGAAAGAACTTTGGCTAGGGCTAATCAGAATTAATCTAACCTTTATAAGTTTTTTAAAAAACAATCAGCATTCTTAGTGAGTGAAATTTTATTAAAAGAGAGAAAAAGAAACTAGTGGTTTGGTGGTTCTTCAATTCTATCATTCAAAATCTGATTTAAATGGGATGCATTTAAAATCAATGGACAAGATGTTTAAATGTTCTGAAACAATGCAACGAATGCAATATTCTGACATGAAACTCAGAAATGCCATTTCATAACTGCATTCTTTTTTTAGTATCCTAACAACTATATTTTAAACAGATTTTGTTGTTCTGATACTTTGAAAACAGCAAACTGGGAACTGGTGCGGTTTTTCTTGACTTTGAGCTCCTCCAGGAAGATTTATACTGATTAACTGAGTGAGTTAATAAGCACTTCAAATCTCAGGTGTATCGTGTCACTGCCAGAATCTGCTTATCTCTGCCTGTGTACTGTATGGGGACCCCAGGTTACTTGGGGTATTTGCCTGGGTCATCACGTGGTGTGATGAAACACCTTCTTTTTGTGTTTTGCACAAGCAAATGAGTGCCTGTAACTAGACTAGTGATATTTATCACACTGGGAGACTGATGAGTAACTGGTTAGTGTTTATGAACCTTTCAAAGATTTCGATACTGTTATGATACTGCTGAACAGTCCTTAAACAAGATCTACCGTGATCTTCACAGTTCATCAGCCATTTCAGGAATAAGTATAAATGCTGATATATGGGTACAAAAAGGACCAGACTATCAAACGATATATTAAAACCAATTTGGTAAACTGAATCCTGTTCAATATATATGACACTCAAGTGCAGAGTAACATAAGGGAGTGGAAAACAGTCACGCTGAGTGGGATATTAAGCCATGCTGGACTAGAAACCCATCATGAGCTTGCAACTGGGTGCTCTAATAAGGAAGTCGATGTAATCCTGGGTATTTATTTTTCTGTATTTACTGAAGTGAGTGTATTTAGGTCAATGACACAGACCTTAGACTGTTGTGGATAATTTGGGTACATGCATATTAATGTGAGTGTCGAAAAAATAGAGATTGATTTAGAGATCTTTAATTACTTACAAGATGATAGTATATAATGTCACATAGTGAAAGAAATATCAAGAATCATGTATTCATGATATCAGTATATAAAAAATAATATTAAGAGGTAATCTGATTACAAAGCATGTGTATGAGTCAACTGGAAAAAAATTCTAGGTATAAATGTGTGCTTTAGTCCCATGGAAAGATATAACAAGAATCAGTAAATGGCAGCCATATAAATGAAAAAAACATGAATATCGACAATAATGACCAGTCTCCACTGGTCCAACCAGAGAAATTTACTGATAGATTCTCCTCTGAGTATTAAATTCTTAAATTGAAAGTTATATTTTAGCAATTATAGAGTATTTTCAGTACAGGGATAAGTAAGCACAAGAAAAGGGATAATCAAGTGAAACATAAAGGTTAATGCCATAGCGAACATCAGAATAGATGGCCTTAAAATAAGCAGTTGGTTTGTTTTTAATCTAGAAATATAGTCATTCTATTTAAATTAATACTTCATATTCTACATTCATGCTATTGCAAAGCTGCAGCTGTCTGTGAATAAACTACCTGCTGTGCTGTCACACGTACACGGAAAGGTGTGAAACTGTGCTGGTTTTTACCACCTGATCTCAGGATAATTTAAATATCATTATATTTTAACTTCTGATACAATCTTTAAACATTCTGTTAAAACCACACTGGAAATCTATAATAAATTCCTTGCTTCATCAGAAGAATTACCAGAATACCATGCCAGTGTTTCCTCACTGATTTCCTAAGTGAACAGTTTAAATACCGTAAATCGGGAAAGATTCTCTGAAATTAATGGGTCATTGTCAGATTACACAGGGTAGGGAATTCATTCCCAAGTTTGCAGTTACATATTTAAAATAGAAATGCAGGTTTTGACTGTATGTGCCAAGTACTGTTTCAAAAATACATATGCAGTAATCACGTATTTTTTTTCGGTAAAACAAAGCTAGGTGACAATTTTAGCTCACTGGTGTATACTCAAACATTAAAACTTTCCTACACAGAGATACAAAGGACAGAAGAGAGTGACAATTTAAAAAAAAAAAAAAAAGTCATCCTATAATTCTGTGATATTGACATATCTTTCTCATTATTTGTTAAACTGCAAATCCTGGCACTATTCACATTAAGAATCGTCACTACATAACTATACTAAATTTCTCTACAATGCAATTATCTCTCATCTATGTTGAACTCTTCATCATTGTCCCATTCTAACCTGAATGAAAACATATAAATCAACCTTTCACTTCAAATTCATCTTTGTTTTTAAAGTGCCATTCATCTTGTTATTAAGGGCTAAATCCTTCTTCCCAGCAAGTAATCCGATAGGATTATTTGCATGAATCAACTGAATGATATTTCAGACAATTGTATGTCAGCGCATCTCATTTCAGAGTCCTAAAGATTTGCACTGAAACTGTGTCATTAGTGTGTCAGTGAAATACGAATTATTTCTCCCTAACTCAGTCTTAATGACCACAAGCATAAAAAATATAAAGTATTGGTTTAGAAATAGAAGTACAAAGTTTTACTAGAACTTTATAACTTTACACTTTTCAGTTTTAAAAAGATAAGTTAATCACTCCCCTTTAGCAGGTAGATATATTTTGTGTTTTTCTGATTTGCAAACAATGTATAGTTCACAGAGTGACCAGGGGATTTGTAGCTGGTTAGACAAGAGCCGGCTTCTGAACTTCTGAAGACATAAACTGACCTTGCACTGCAAGAGAGAACCCTGAAAGTTGTACTTGCCAACCCCACCTTTCAAGTTCAAAATCCCGCAGATTGAACTGGGCTCTGGTCCCAGGTGCTGGTGTTGGGTTCGCCTGTTTCCAGGCAAAGGAGCCAATATTGCTCAAAAGCCCAAATCAATTTTGTCACCCTACCGCACTGCAGGGTCTTTTAAGCACCAGTCACTGCAAGAAGGGGACTGGGGAACCATCTATGGGTGGCTGGTACCGCTGCTCCCTCCACCATATGGCTCAGGGCCCTTCCATTTTTCTGTCATGAATGATGAAGCTGTTTTCACAATTTAATGATGCAACAAGGGATTTGGATGGGGGTTTTGGTTGATAAAAGGGGGCCTCAGATGTGTGACAAAAATTAATAATGTATCCAAGCCCTTATTATACGAGATTAGACGGCGGGAGGTCGGCTTTTACATATTAATGTTTCATGAAGGGCTTATAATAGGATTTAGTATGAAGGGCACACAGACACACATCCCCCTCCTCCCTTGTACACATATGAATGAAAATAACCTGTTTTAGCACGTTTTTAAAAAGCCAAATAAATCTGCTATATTACGGCTTCTGGCCACAGACTATTATTAAAGAGGATGGGGTTTAAGCTATTCTCTCATGAAGCACGTTCAATCCAAGACTGGCACTTGGGAATAAGTGTTCCTCTCTAATGTCAAAGGTAGCTTATTCTATCTGTTCTGCTGGGCAGCTGAGTTCATCAACCATTCTAATATTCATGGCACAATCCCAGCTTTGTTAGCTCTGTGTCATTTTATGCAAATTAAAGGGATGATTCAGAAAAAACTCACATTTTGCTTATCATTTATGAAGCCATAAACTGTCAGGATGAGCATTTCACAGGAATATGTCTGCAGTAGAGGGGTCAACAGAGTCATCAGGAAATTAGCCTGTACCAGAGAAAAGTCAGAATGATGATATATGTTGCAGAATAGCTAAACAGTGTCTCCCCATACTGGGTTCATTATCACTTAGTCAATTTCAAGTACATAAACATAAATAGAAGTTGTCCCAAGAAGTTTAACCAGCAGGATTATTGACTGAAAGGACGACTAGAATAAGAGGAATATCATCAGGGCTATTTAGGTTACAAAGGAGATGAACAAGTGATATGATAGGTAAATACTTAATAAACATCAGTATGGGCAAAGTAAATATTCACAAGAGCGCCTACTCAGAGTTTGCAGCCAAGGAGGTGAACATTGATGAGCAAGGGAACAGCTGAAAAAAATGCAAAAAATTGTCACATTATATTACTGAGGAAAAATGATCTTTCTAGAGCTCAGTAAGGATGTTGTTTATATTTACATAAATTATCCTTAATGGTATTAAATTTCTACCTCCTAAGCAACCCTCAAGCAAGAACATTATAGGCTAAAATATTTTCTGTTACTGAGAAGCACCTGTTTAACAATCAGCTGACAAATGTGGACTTTTGGAACTATTTGGATATTAGAATGTCAGTGATCCTCAAGATACTAAATGCAGAGAACTCTATTTACTCTTGACAAGTTATTTCAGGGCTAAATATTAAAATTGCAGAGTTTACCCCTGCTTGTTCAGATATAACTAACAAGAGTAGGATTATGTCTGAAATTTGGATTTAGTTCTGCATTCCATCCTCCATTAATCCAAATTCATTGAAATTGCTATCAGTAGAAAACTTGCTACACAGTTTACATAAAATTACACCAGATGTTTTCAGACCAAGCTGATAAAGAAATTTATAATTTATTGAGATTATATCATCCAGATACATCAAAACTATCAAATAACTTTGCTTCCAGTTCTCTCCCAGGTCCTGAGCATCCATGAATCCCTACTACACGTATGATACCTCATGACCAGAGTCCCTTTCAGAAGGGAAAAAACTAATCCTCTCTAAAACAAAACCCACATATGTTTCTGGCATAGATAATTTCAGGGACTCTATCCAACAGGTATCCTTAATCACCTCTACCTGCTTTGATACTTCATCCCAATGCAATATGTACACTGGATTTCATACACAGAAATACTGTTTAGGTTGGTTGTGTAAAGCCACTGATGTTCACAGTTGCTTTTCTCTGAAGGAATCTGCATTTGCTCTGAGCAGGTCAGATACAATCAGCTGCAACACGTGGCCCATATGCCAGAAAACACTCCACAAAGCAGTACAGATGTAGCTTTTGAGTCCAACACATAGCAGTTATCCTCCCAACCAGCTCCATAAAATATTTTAAAGTTACAAAGACAGATGATTTCTTTGATAAGTGTATGATATATCTCTAAATCAACAGAGACAATTGAATCGCAGCCTAAACCCTGGAATTTGGTAAGGTAATTTGAATGAGATGGTCTTGGTTTGAAACATGATCTAGCAGATTACATATTTAACGAGCAAGGCATCCTAAAGCTAATGAGCTAGAAGGAATGAGTCAGAGTTTTATCTAGAGGTATATGGACATAATGAGTTGTAAAATGAAACCACAGGTTTGAGATATTCCCCAGCTGAATTCAAACAGGAGAGAGGGTTGGTAGGGTGATCAAATGAATGAAGAATAGAGAAGATGAGGTGAAGAGGACCTGGATTGCTTAGTGATACAAAAGAAATAAGACAGGACTGCTATTTGGGGTAAATTGCAGAGACTAAAACTGCTAAAATAAAATAGCACGGGTACAAAGTATCTACTGGATGTGGGAAGTAACATGCTGGAAAGGCCTCCAAAATAAGTAGGACAAATGATAATTACTTCTGAGATGGGACCTGATCTGCTTATGAAAGGATGATGTAATGCACTTGCTGGGAAGAGCAACGATCAGAATTTAATGACCCAGGAGTCTTTCACATTCAGTATCAATTGCAATGATGCTGTCATCCAACAGTGCCCAAGTTCTCCATAAAATACACATTGAAATCTCAAAAATAGGTCTGTGAAGAGTCAATGGAAGGCACCACCTGAAAATTATTCAGGGTCTTGGTTTGACCTGTATGAGTCAGTGGCATTTGTGAGGCTTGGAGAAGGCAAAAGGCTAAAGGGACTTTGTGACACTGATAGACACTGACTTTGTCTCTGTATGTCATTTCACTCTGGTGCTTGATCCAGTCCTTGTATGGTCCATGTTACTAAAAGACTTGTGAGTATTTTAGGATTTATTTATGTTTAAAAACAGCAGATCAAACCACAGCAAATTCAGGTTGTCAAAAAGTTCATGTTCTGTATTGAAGTCTTAGAAGGCCCTCATCACACCTGACATGGGCAGAGATACACTTTGTAAGAAGAGAAGTGTTAACTGGCAGCTAAACCCCTGAAATTTCTATATATTCTGTCCCTGCACAACTCAAAGAAAACAAAAAAAAAGTTAAAATGAGTGATCACAAGTTGTCATTGCTAGCAGCACTTGCAGAAGGAAGGATTCTGAAAAACTGCTGCATGCCTACAGGCTTTACAGCTAGCTCCTGTCCTGTTTCCCCCTAGACGTTATGTTTTACTCAAAAAATTAAGCATTTAACCCAGCATTTAGCCTTGAAGTTCCTCCTAGACAAGAAATTCTTTGGGTTGTCTAAAAATATAATCAGTTCTATGTTGTTGGCCTTTTGCAGGAGGAGGTGTGTCAAAGATGAATGATAGCAGGTAGAGTCAAAGATAATAAATTTTAGAAAACCTGAGCTGAGAGAATAATTTGAGTGACTAAAAAGTCACTTGCACAGTACATTTACAGCTGCTCAGAGCTGTTCAAGAAACAAGCACCGTTCAAGAATGAACACCAAAGGATAATCATGACCCAGTTTAGTTGTTATATGTGTTTGACAAAATGTCTTAATCAACGTATTTTATGAGTTTTCTGTAAGGATAAGGAATGGCAATAACCAGCTCACCAACTTTAATTCAACTAAATTTTTTATTTTTTTTTTACAAAATTTTCATCTCATCTTTAGACTAGGTTGGAAACTCATGTTTTCAGTCCTCTTTATTTTCCACCCTTATCTAAGAGAGGAGTCTCTTCTAAGACCAGGAAAAATGTTTTATCGCTGTTTACAAATAAAGTATTTTTTCAATACAGATACTTTACCCAATGAAAAGAATGTCCTTTATAATATGATCAGTATTATTGTAAAATTTTCAAATGCAGAGATTGTATGTTCCAGAAAAGAACACAGGCTACATTTGCCATAGGTTCCTGTTACAGTCAGAATAAACCACCTTATAATATTTGGATTTAATTTATTGTAGCACTGTGAAATGCTTTCACACATCCTGACCATGATTCCCTAGAAAACTAACAAAATAATCAAACTTTCCCATTCTGTAGATAGGTCTTCATGAAATGATGATGATTGGCTTTTTGAGGGTGAAAACTGTTCACTTAAAGTCCTGAACGACTTTTCTACTGAAGTCACTGAAAACTTTAGGTTATCATGAAGAGTGATGTGAAACCTTCTCTGCCTTCACAGTTCTCAATATAAATCCATTAAAATCCATCTTTTGTAGTTGTCAGTGACCAACACTTAACTAGTCTTTAATTATTTTGGATTTTAATAAAATGGCATTCATAATTCTTTTGATACAGCATATATTTAAGCAACTTAAACTTCCAGTATTTTCTCTTATAGCTAAATATTTTAAAATGCTGTTTGAACATACAGAGTTACTCTTTGATTTTCAATTTTTTTTTAAATATAAACTTTACTTAAGGTGCATCATATGCTTTAGAATAGACATTTGGTTTCTATAACAGTTGTTTTCACAAAGTTGGACCCCTTATTCAGAGAATAGGGACATAGATAATTGTGGAATTTATCAATTATATTTAAAAATGACATAAAGAGAAATACACAGCACTCAGACAGCTGAGGAGCTGACTCCTCCCCATACACATATGAAAGGAATTTTAGCTTTATGGACTTGTAGCAATTTTCTCTCCCAGTCATTGCAGTAAAAGCACACTTCTAGCCAGGACCCCTTACTTTCAGATATCATGTGTGTAACCCAATATGTCACCCATCTGGCTTCAGCATTTGGTATGCATCGGTGCTCCCACTGTTCTCAGTTCACTTTTTGAGCTGGCACTTCTTCCAGTCAAGTAACAATATCTATAACACACTTCCATGCAGAATGCTCGTGTAATACAAATTGCCTGGAAAAGGTAGATGAGAACAGTGGGGCTGCACAGATGCAAAAATTAGAAATCCAGAAATGAAAATAAATGCATTTCTTTTTCTTCAGTTTGTCCCCAAAGAGAAAAATGAGCCAACTGGCTTGAAACCCAAAAAGATTAATTCCCTATGCAACCTCATTCCATTCTAAGCATTTTTCCTGAATTGTCAGAGTAATTTCCTTCATCTGCTCCCATCCCAAATGTCTCTTAGCCAAATATGATCTTTCTATTATTACTACTTGTATTACAGGAGGACTAAGTCACAGCTCATGACCTTCATATAATGCCAATGTCAGTACAACACTGAGGATCAATTTTAGATTCAGTCTTTTGGGACTGAATCTACTGAGTCTAGAAATAGAAATAGATAAGCAAACATTATTCTTTGTTTCAGGGCTTCTTCTGGTCACTTATGAGGACCAGGATTTACATTTTTTTCCCTCTCCTTGACATACTACTACTGTATTTATATATTGGTCTTCAATAGATGGTTATTTTCTTCTACATATAGTTAAACAGTTGCTGATTTTGGGTCAGAAAGGAATTTTCTCCCAAGTCTAGGGGCTGCTGAAGGCATGTCAGGGCATTTTAATTCCCTCCTAATGCCAGGGCCAAGGATGATGGCAACATCAGTGACATCTCCTGCTCTATCTCTGTGGCATACATGTTCAAGGTGATATCGGAATGTCAAGAGCACAAACAGATATGTGTATAAAAGATGCAGATGGATGTGGGATAGGAGTGAACAGTCTTGAAGAGGCTGAAATTTTTATTTTCAAAAGGGAACCGTGTCTGTCTGAGAATGAACATAATCCATCTTCAACTGCAATAAATACAACTATAGACTCCCATATACTGTCAATTTGCCATGGAAACATAAGGATCTTAAAGAAAAATATGGTTTCTAATCCATTACTGGAGTTAACATTGTAGCAAAATTGAGCAAATGAGAATTGCTTGAGAAGCAGAAATGAAGCATAACAGAACATAAAACAATAAGCTTAAAATAAGCTTAATAAACAAAACAAAAATGTAATTGCAAAAGAAAAACAACACGATTTGGAGATTTGATGTGTGGGTCAGTAAAACACCTCAGAAATATCTTAGGAACAATCAGAATGTTACATTTCCTAATTAAATACTTTCAAATGTGAGCAGTATTCAAATATATTCAGATTTATTGTAGTTCAAAAACATTCTTGTTTGGTCTAAATCATAATAAATGTAGCTAAGATAAGATATTTAAACCAATAAAACACTGTACAAATATCACAATACTCTCTTAGGAAGAAGAATTTAGTATTTATGGGGTGAAATACATGTAACGACAAAAGAGCACGAAGGAGAAATACTGATTCTATTTATGGATGTGCATTGAGAGATGCAAGGCAAATGTAGGAAGATGTATTTCTCTTGACTAAGAGTTACAGAGGAAACCGACTCACTAAAATAGCCATGCACTAAATTCATGGTGCCGTTCTTAATATGCATTCAAGAAAAAGGATAAAAAAGCCATTTCTTACAAGAATCATAATTTAACTCTAATTTATTCTACCCTTAAATCCATCTATTTTTTGGGGAAAAGTGATCTATTTTTGAGAAGGCTGTTCCTATAAAGCATAGTTCTGGGGGAGAATTGACTTACAAGTGACATTATGGAATTATTTCATCATCTGCTCCTCAATGTTATTAAATATTCACTGGTACTTGTGTGTCTAAACACAGGCAAGATTTTAATTTTGAAGATGCATGTCTCTGATCATTCCTTAAATTACATTTTCCTTTCTTTTCTAGAAGGAACAGACTCAGGGAAACAGCTTCTCTTTAGTGAACGTGAGAACAAAGGCAATTCTGGGAAACACAGCTTTCAGATGTGGCAAACAGAAGCTGATTTCAGATACAGAATCAAAAAATCAGAGTAAATTTCCTTGAAGAAACAGTTACCTACCATAACAATTTTGTAAATGTCATCCTTATAAAGAGATGGCATTTTTTAATATTCTATCTTAGCGTGATTTACGTGATTTAGAAACAGTTGCGCTGATTCGCACTAGCTAAGGATCTGCTCCAGCCCGTCTGTGCACAATCACAAACTGAAAACTGCATTGCTGCATTAGGCATTTAGCTAAACAGCTATTCAGAAAAGAAACAGGGAAGACTACAAACCAAACAGCCCTTTCTTCCTGCTTATAAGTAAATATGGATTTTCCCACAGAAACTTTAGAACAATTACAGTCTATTGCTCTTCAAAAATTACTAACAGGAACATCTAACTTTTAAAAAGAATTTATAAAAATCACAGGCAAAACTCCTATGAGTCCCAAACTCTTCTCATTAATAAATAAAGAAAAAAAGAGGACACCATTGTGATTTCTGTGAACATATAGGGGTATTAAATTATAAGGAAATTAACTGCACGTACTTTTGGAGTAGAAATTTACACATAAAGAAACTAAGAGTAAAGACAGAATTCAGGCCAAAATAGTTAATGCAGTGCAACACAAACACGTGCACCAGTCAGTCCCAGTACATGTGTTGAACATGCTGCCAGACAAAACCAGAAATGTGCTGCACAGCCAGCTAGATATTTAACACAAGATAGGGATCACAGGGAACAAAATGAGGAGACCAGATTTAAAGCTATTTAAAAAAAACTTCCTTACTGTGCCAAGAAGCTTTTTTTCTTCTGCCCTTTAATATTTGTCAAATAGAAGTGGAGTATACTTAGTTTGCTATTTAAACATTCCTATCAGGCTGTAATTCTAAATAGAGAATGTGAAACATAGATGTCTTTGAGGAGAATTTTCATCTTGAAACTTATTGCTGCTTCGTGCTTCTTTAGCCCAAGGTCTGTTTCTCACTAACTTATGGCACTGTACCAATTTCTGAAAAACACATGCTAAGGGTAAAGGTTTCTGTCAAATCAGTTCCACATCAGATACTGTGATGTCATATGTTAAGACATCTCCAGGATTTATTTTAGCATTACATAGTTTTGTATAAAGTGGCCAGTCATTGCTGTTGGCTTCATCCTTTTGCACAGTTCCACTGAAGGGAAAATGGGGGGCAAAAAGGATTATTTCCACAATAGAAGAATGAATGAATGAACATAAAAAAAATGAAACAATAGTGCTGGAGAAAAGGCTTCCTCCTACAAGGGGCAGATATTAATTGAATCAAATTAGAATTCAGTCAAAGCAGCGGAATTTTGAAAAAGAATCATCACTTCACACATTTATGTAGACCTTGTAATGTGCTTTATTTGAAGCAAATCCTAGGATGCTACTGGAACTCAAATCAGCAATAGTCAGTGAGTTACCTCTAAAAAAAACATCAGAAAGAATGATCTGTTTTCTATGGGTATGTGTTTCCAGATTGATTAAGTCTTGTGTCTAAGAAAATCCCAGCTCTGTTTGAAATTCTTCCTGCTGCTTTGGCATTTATAAAAGTGGATTCTCTTTTGCTTTATAAGTAGTGAATGCATGGTGCCACTTTCTTACAATTAAAGCACTAACAAAATCTCTCTTCTACTTGGCCAGCAGTTTTAACCAACCATTTGGAGACCTAATTTCTAATTTCTCAGCAAATTCAATAAGATTTGGTTGAAATAGATGTGAAAATTAACGAAAAGAAAGAGTGGGGATATGTAGGGAGAGTAAGATTTACACCTGTGACTGCATAAAATGTATTACCTTAGGAAATTATGCTAAATGGAATTTTGTGTCCATGTTCAGTCTGGGTCTTATTAGACAAGTTATTACACGGGATGGAAGTAGACACTAATCCAGCCCAGCAGTTAGTAGATTCCCTACATAAAGAACATATGTTTAAACACATCCATGTTGATATGTGAGCATATGTGGAATAAGTCAATTGGGACAACACTGAAGTTACTTCCTTTTTCCTTTTTTTTTTTTTTTTTCTATCCTTGCAGAGTATTTGGTGCTGCTATACTGCTGACATCCTCCCTCAACATGTTAATACCGTCTGCAGCCAGGGTGCACTATGGGTGTGTCATCTTTGTTAGGATCTTGCAGGGCCTTGTGGAGGTATGCAAAATTTATAACATAACCAGTAAATGTGACAGATATTTGTTAGCCTTTAAATAGCAATTGTAACTTTCAGGGGAAAATAAAAATTGCTTTCAGTTTATTACTGATTTTCAGCATAATGGATTTCAGTGTATGAATTACAGCTGTTTGATTTTCCTTCATCTATAAAATTACATAGCAAAGTTTTGTCTTGCTAAGAATCCAGTGAGATATGTACTTAACACTGACATTCCACTGAAATCCTGTACTGCGGAGGGCTTATACTGATGCTATTCTCAACAGTTATTTGCTGTCCAGCCTCATAGATTAAATCCATAATAAAGAATTAAGCTTCTGTCATAGGCCCTGACCATGCTCTTGTCAGAATGAATGAGAGATTTACCATAATTTAGAAGAGAAAAAAATTGAGCATGCCTTCTAAATGTATTGGTTTGTTTATTTCTTTACCAAAAGACAGATTTTTAGGCCTGTGATTGCTGGTGCTTTGTTCCTCAGGGCTACACAGTTTTATTGCATGAGCTGATTTTAACTCATGCATTTTATCGTATAAAAAAGACTCCAAAAGCAGGTGCAGAATGTGCCTGAAAGTTAGATAACTGTCAATCAAGTTCTTAAAGTATATAAATCTGGACCCATTTCTGAAAAGTGATCTGCATGTACAGAGGTGTGCTTGACTGCAAGGAGGAGAGGAACGGAGCAAGTGGGTAATACAAAACCAAATAGATATTTTAGACCCACTCATTTCTGTGATACTGTTCAAAGAAATTGTGAATGCAAAACATCTCAAACGGGACCATTTGAAGAAGGTTTACAATAAATCATGACAATCTTAAAATTACATCTTTTTTTTTAAAAGAAAACAAACTGTCAGAAATGAACATGAAATTGGTTATAAGATCTTCTTTCAAAACCTTATCAAACTTTGGCATATTGAGAACGATAATCTTAACATTTATGATAACCTTAACATTTGCAAAAAGTTATTATTATTTTAAAATTTTTGCATAGAAAACAAAACATCAGATTAAGAGAAAAGTGACTCTGTATAACTATGAATACATCATAATAATTATTAAGCAAGAATTTTGAAGAAAATTACTGTACATTTCATATTACATTTTCTAAAATTTAAATGTTGCGAGATATAATGATTTTTAAATTTTTTTTTAGTTTTTCTATTATGAAGTTAAAGGCTGGTTTTGAAGAGAAACCTAAAAAGTGACTGGTTTAAAATCAAAGCAACCAACATCATTCAATTATTTGCATTAAGGCTCAAGTAGGTTGGTTAAAGATGGTGAAAAACTTCTCTCTTCATATTTTTAAACTCTTCTTAATCTTATTTTCTGGTTTAGACCAGTGGAACAGTAATCTGCATTTCCTAAATTATAATTTAAATTTTAGATTAAAAAAATTTAGAACACCAGAACTGAGTGCTCGAGAATTCCGGCCGGCCTTAGAAAGACCCCAGAGGGTCTGTGTTTTCATCCTTCCTTTGACTCTGCTACTTGTGCATTAAGACTATTTCTTTTTAATTCTTCACAATTGTTTCCTGGAAGGGGGAGGGGGAATAAAAGGAAACAATTGTGGTTTATACCTGTTTCATAACACCTCTTTAAAGATTTGGAGTGATTTACAAACCTCATTTCAACCTTAATAGAAACTGAAGGTTTTCTATGGCTGTGCTCAGACTTTGCTATAGAAATGCAAAGCATTCTCAACTTCTTTGTAGCAATTAAAAAAAAAAAGTAAATCATGCAAAGACAATGAACTGAGTGACTAATGAGCATTAGCTAACTTGTGGCACACCCATTCCCCAGGGGGTCACCTACCCTGCCTGCCACGGTATTTGGAGCAAGTGGGCCCCCCCATTAGAAAGAAGTAGGTTAGCAACCACTTCCTTTTGTGGTAAGTAACTTTCTATTTTTGTCTTTCTTTCATTTTTAACATAAAAGTATTCTGAGACTGACTTTTATTCCCTTTTCATCCACGTATGTCTTATTTTGTAGGTTCCTATGCAGGAGCTGTTATTGCAATGCCTTTAGCTGGAATTCTAGTGCAATATACTGGGTGGTCTTCGGTGTTCTATGTGTATGGTATGCATTTTGCTCATCTCACTTTGATATTGTATGACCTTACTCTACCCTTTCTAAAAATATAAAAAAAAAAAAAAAAAAAAAAAAAAAAAAAAAAAGGAGAGGCAGGTCCATAAAGCTAAAAATACAGTCTAGAGAAAAGGAGAGTGAAAGAACAGAATTTAAAGGAGAGAGTAGGAAAGCAACATTACTAAAAAAGAAACTAAACTAGTTCATGGTGAAACCTTCATCACTTCTAGTACAAGCAGTGCAAACTGCTATGCAGATCTATCAAATCTCAGATCACGCAACGTCACTCTCTCATTTTTACAACTGTAAGTTCAGAGTACCTGCCCTGACTAGGATGTCCTGATTTGTATCTGAAGACTTGCATAACTTCATTCAGACTAGTTGTGCTACCTTAACTTACACTGATGGAAAAAAAAAATGCTCCAAAGAAGGTCATTCTGCAGTGTAAAACTAATGTGAATTAGGGGGAAGATAACAAAAAATTTAGTGTAGTAATCAAACAACAAAAGGGAACCTCATTTACAGTCTAGTGAAATTAAATGGAAGTTGTTCCAGTGATTTGCATTGTACAAATTAATGTTAAAATATCGGTGACTGTTTATTCACAGTGACATAGATCTCTAAATGAAACAAAGAAGTCTTCGCTATGGTCCAGCCCTGAATGTATTTTGCCCAAATATTATTTGGAGGAACCAAGTGTCTGTTAGAATGACTCAGTAGAAGAACAGTGGCAACAACGGCCATTTAAATTCATTATAATGATTCACAGATTTTTTTCCATGTTTGGTTCTTTACTGTGTATCTTTTAAAAGTCTTTCTTTCCATTTCAAAGGGAGCTTTGGTATAGTCTGGTACATGTTTTGGCTTTTGGTTTCATATGAGAGTCCTGCAAAGCATCCTACGATTACAGATGAAGAAAGGAGATACATAGAAGAAAGCATTGGAGAGAGTGCCAACCTCCTAGGTGCAATGGAAGTAAGAATATTACTCATATGCTTGCTTCCTATGTGAGTAATAAAACCCACAAATCCCAAATAGAAACAACAAAAAAAATCAAACATCGTCTTCAAGAGACAAAAGCATGTTTCACACAATTGAACTTTTTTTTGGGGGTGGGGAGATCTGAAATCTGTTGATAGATTTCTGAGTCAATATTGTTTCTGCACGAAGAGAATTATAGAATCATAGATGGTTTGGGTTGGAAGGGACTTTTAAAGGTCATTTAGTCCAATCCCCCTGCAATGAGCAGGGACATCTTCACCGCGATCAGGTTGCTCAGAGCCCCGTCCAACCTGGCCTTGAACATTTCCAGGGATGGGGCATCTACCACCTCTCTGGGCAACCTGCTCCAGTGTTTCACCACCTTCATTGTAAAAAATATCTTCCTTATATCTAGTCTAAATCTACCTTCTTTTAGTTTAAAGCCATTACCCCTTGTCCTATCAAAACAGGCCCTACTAAAAAGTTTGTCACCATCTTTCTTGTAAACCTCCTTTAAGTACTGAAAGGTCACAATGAAGTCTTCAGTTCTTCTAGCAGATCACTCATGGAATTTATACCTCTTTTTCTACTCCAAAATATAAAACTACCTCTATGGTTACATTTGAAATTGCAGCTTTATTGAGACTTTCATAGTACCTTGATTTCAGGTGGTTAATTTCCTTCCTATATAATCCCTTCTGGAAGGTTACCACTTTTTAAAAGTAAACTAGAAGAAAAGCCCTTTGCAGTGTCTCTTGAGGTCCTCACAACATCAGAGAAAAGGCAAATTCTGACTATTCTATGTTTTATTTGCAAGAAAGACTATACATTGCAACAGAGCATGCCAGGAGAGCCATAAGAATGCTCTCAAGCCTCTAATAATCTGATTTAGTTCTGTACTGGATTAATTTTCAAGAATTCCTAAAAACCCAGCTATGAATTCAGAGAATTTTCTAGCCTCTTAATCCTATCATGCTACATAATAATTTTCCTATTTCTCTAACTATTGAAAAGCTTTAAAGAAACTATCATCATGCTTACTAACTCAAGAAAGCAAAAAAAAATTTGGTCCTTAAATCTCACTTCATCTGCTCAAATTTTTACACCATCCATTCCCAGTCAACCCTCACTACCACTCTTCATTATGTTTTTTAATAGGTCAGAACACTGGTTCTTGACTGAAGTCAGGAATAAACCCTTTTTCTCTTGGTAAAAAAACTTTGATCCAGATTAAATAGGGAACTGGAAATATTACAGTCATTCCTTTGATAGTCGACATTTTTAGGTGTTCTTGAGGGAGTGTCAGGGTTGATATTCAACGGCATTCAGCAGTGGTCATGGTTTCTTATACCTATAAGCATTGTTGAAAGTTTGACATGAAATGAGATACTTCAAAGGATGCCCATATAATTTTAATTTGGGCTGGATAACTTCTATTTGTTCTTGTTGGTTTTTAATTAAACATTTTTTAGAAGTGATTAGTCTGTATCAATAGCTCAGTTGCTTCTAAAATACTCAGGCTGAAATTCTTCCCATAAGATCAAGTGAGCTTTTCTGTCTGGCTTTTCTTTAATTATGTCACATTATATCCTTAGCTCTCACTTGAGTGTAATTTAATAGGTATACAAGGTATTGCATAGATCCACCTATGGGCTGTTTTTCTGTGAGGAAAAGCCAGTATTCAAATCAACTGTAGAGTAAATTTAGCCTGAAACCTTTCTGAAGTGATTTTCAAACCCTCATCTGGGTCTGGATCCTGTATTTGGATCAACACAGATGGGCAGAACCCTGGGCTCATGGAGAGGTGCTGGGACTCAGCAGGATTGTAGTTCTGTCCATCTGTCATTTTTTCTTTTCATTATGCAATTCATTTTAAAAATACAATAAAACAAACAAACAATGTATTGACCAAGCAGTTTCAGCTGGGGCTTGATAATAAAATTATTCAGAATGCTGAGATTAAAATTTAAATGCTACAATACATGCTTAAATAAATCTGATGAAATTGTGTATTTACAGTGTAAAATCTGACTGTTGCCTTAGATACAGCAACATTGTCTTTTAAGGACATATTATTAGTTTGGACTTAGCATGTTCATGTTTACATGATTGAGATAATGGCACTTGTACATGAGTGTTGTGATACAGCTAAGTATCACTGTGATTCTCCACTCCTGCATTTTGTAGTAATTTTTACTTGCTTATGTTTTTAAATTAAATCTTGATCATCCAAATGTGGATGCTTTATGGTAACTGAAGTCATTGTAATTCAGATACATAAAGCTGTGCATATATGAGCTTGTTGGAGCATAGGTAAAAATAACAGATAGGAAAAGGCAAGATAGATAGATGATCATTATCGAAATGGTGACTGGGTCCCCCTTTCTATGTTTCAGAAATACAAAACTCCATGGAGAAAATTTTTTACATCTATGCCAGTCTATGCAATAATAGTTGCAAACTTCTGTAGAAGCTGGACTTTTTACTTGCTGCTTATTAGTCAGCCTGCTTACTTTGAGGAAGTGTTTGGATTTGAAATAAGCAAGGTATGTAAAAATAACGTAAAGCTATTATTTTATCTGTGCAAATATCAGAGCTACATTTGTGGTAATTATTAGGAGGAGGAAAGAAAATTGTTCTGCATCTTTATCATGGGTTTACAAGTCTTAAATCTTATCCCTTCCAGTTAGCGTTCTCTCGACCAGCACATATAAGTGAAGTAACAGTGACGAGGGATTGGATCGGGGAAGGTGAAGGCAGGATGAGATTTAGTCATGATCTGCTTGGGGCCATATTGCAAAAAGAGCTTCAGTAAAGTGCTTGAAACCAGATCATGCATGGTATTAGAAAGGTATTGAGAGATCCATTACAGTTCTGTCCCTGATACCCCAGGGGATGTGGGATCCCACTGAAGCTGTAAAGAGAGCATTGACAAATGGTTCCATTTTTCTAGGTGCGTTTTACAAAGCAGGATCAGATAGTTTTAGGAAAGATAGTAAAATTTATCACCTTTCTGTATCCTCTTTTAATGTGTTGAGAACTGCTCTACCTTTTCCACTTAGGAAGTGAAAGAGATGGTGGCAAAATATGAGACATAGGGATGATCCACATAATTCATATGAATTTTGAATCAGACTTATAGTGTGAATATGGATACATGCAAACAAGCCGTCAGAGTGCATAGTGAGCTTTCGACTAATACAGATTTCCTTCCTGTGAAAGTGACCTGGGCTTGTGCTTTTGAGACCCCTGTATTTGGTTGATATTGTTCCATGAGGTATTGCTACCCTAAATTGCGATGTGACAACAGATGAGTAGCTTCCAAAGTGTTGCCGTATTATGGAGTAATGTCAAAAATATGTAATGCCATCCCGCATTTAAAGATGGGCTTCCATCTTTAGCTGGAGTTATTTTAAGAAGCTTTGCTATGCTTGAAACATCAGCTGTTATGCACGCAATAAGAATGGTCATATTCTATAGAATTAATCTGATCATTTTGTTCTAGAAGGTTTTTCTTAGAGGGCACTCAAAGAAATGTGGAGCTTTGTAAACAATGACAGCAAAATCCGTTTAACCTGCTGTGGATATGGATGCTCATAAATGAATAGTTATCAGTCAGGAACACCTCAAAGCAGCAATGGCAATGCCACAAGTTACCTCACACTTCATATCTGGCTTATTGGGAGAACCATCTATTAAGATGAAGCTAGCTGTCCCAACATAGCTGACACATACATAAACTGCAGTGAAATACAGAGTTTCACAACTTTGATTGAAGAGCAGAGAAAACTTGTTTTCTTTTTGTTCTCATGGAGCCTGCCTGCCCTGCACACTGATGCAACTCAAGCCAGACATCAGACCAGCTGATGCACTGTTCAGACAGCAATCATGCAAAACCCCCTGTGCTTAAGCACTTTTTCAGATATACATAATAATCAGTATTCTTTATCAGAACAAAACACCACGTGTACTAGACCAAAATGTCTGGAGTGACAGGAGATAGCAGGTGGCAGTGCGTGCCATGCTCACAGGTACCTGTTTTGCAGGAATGGGCTTCAAATATATTATTATATCTTGGAGCAGTCATCACCAAATTACTATTTCTTACTTTGCTAGTATGTGCAGCATTCTGAATACTGTCAATCAATATTTAGCATGCTATCTTTCACTATGTACAGAGTTTCTCAGACATATCTTTTGCCCATGGGAAATTTGAAGCTTGGGGGATGGTCAGAAATCAAAGGCAAATGGCCATTGTGCACGCGGGGATGATCCACAGGGAATCTGTCTAGACACGTTAGGTTTGCTGGGCAATGAGACACCTAAAACATCACCAAAAGAAATGTAGCAATTCAGTTTAATGCATTTGATCATAAATTTTCTGAAAAGAAAGAGCAGAAGGGCTATGAGTGAAGGGAAAAAACCCATTAGCTTAAATCTAAACTATGAAAACAAACTAAACACAAAAGTGTCATGGCATCAGAGGTTCTTAAAAACTCTGGCTGTCCTTCATAAAATACAATGGCAAGATCACCAGTTCTTTTCATTTAATAAACCAAGATTTTTAGTATTACTTTTAGTACATAGCCTGAAATTGAAGAGAAACAATTAGTTGTTGAATGCTTCAGAAAATGAAGAAACAAGATTTCCTTATGATTTATACTCTGCTGATTCTAATTATTATTTTAGGTGGGTATCTTATCTGCTGTGCCGCATTTAGTGATGACAATTATTGTTCCTATTGGGGGACAAATTGCAGACTTTTTAAGAAGCAGACAGATTCTTTCAACCACTACTGTGAGAAAGATAATGAACTGTGGAGGTAAGTCTTCCTATTTTATTAAAAAGCTTCTCGTACAGATTCAGTGTCCCAATAGTATGCTGCATACAATAAACAAACAAACTGCATGTATTATGAAGCAATGCTTTGCGTATTTTTTTGCACACCCTCTGCACTAAGAAAACCCAGACCTGAGATTACATACCTGACTTCTGAGGTTAAAGTCACATGAGCTGAATCCTGGCTGTGATAAGGGCTGCACAATTCATAAGCAGGTTAAGTGTATATTCCCATTAGGGCTGGCTGGAACTACCTAACCAAATCACAAGTATTTCTTTTCATCTTAAAGCTGACAGGAACTAGCAGTAGGTTACCATACAAAGGCTAAACTAAGGAATATCTGAGATAGCAAGAACACGTGGTTTTTAGGGATGAAAGAAATACCTGAATATATTCCACTCTGAAGTAATGTTTTGCCTCTGTCTTCCTATGAAATATTACCATATCCTAAGGCTTGCAATATTTGAGAGGGAATGAAATCTGATGCCTGGTTTTCTTTATGATTTCCCCAGGTTTTGGTATGGAAGCAACTCTCCTTCTCGTGGTGGGATATTCTCACAGTAAAGGAGTGGCTATTTCATTCTTAGTGCTTGCTGTAGGCTTTAGTGGATTCGCCATATCTGGTAAGATTATATTACTGCTATCAGTAAATTATTTTATCTTAACAGAAAGAACATCTCATTTGGCTTTTATTCATTGATAGTAATTTAAACAAACCTCAGAATTACAAATGACATTATTTATGATAATTACAGGAAAGTACAGCCAGAATCACATCTTTTATATTAATTACTTTTGTTCAAATTCTTCACTCATTCATTGCAGCAAATGAGACTTTCTTTTCAGTGAGGTGCTAATGTACACCACAGATTTTTCTTGAAATCAAACATAACACAAATGGACTGATATAACGATACCTAAATTTCCACGTATTTGTTTAAATATAAGCCTTTTACTATTTTTTTTCACTATTATGTTAGTTAATGCTTTATTAATGTTGCAATTTTTTATTACTCTGGGGCCTAATTACTAGCAACTTTTTTCTGATTTAAAATTCAGCTCTCCCCCTTTCCTGCTGATATATCACCCCTTTGCCTTTGCCCTTCCCAAACACAAGTCACCTGGCCTTCCCTTGCTTTCCCACTGTGATCTTAGTATCCTCTCCCATGCTGGTTCCTTATGTCTAAAACAGGCTCTCTTTTCTTCTGTGCCAAACATCTAAACTTCTCTTAATCAAATCTGTCCTTAATCCCTTGTGTTCTGCAAGTTATCATGCCTGTTTTGCACAACTTGAAAAGTGTATAGCACTTTCTCTAACAGTTATCCCTATCATACTGCTTGCCTTTTCCCTCTTATTATCTTTCTGTATCCAAGTATTTGGTTTCTGTTTTCATTTACTTAAGTGCTTACTTTGGGACAATGAGTTCTGTTGCTTCAGAGAAGCATGTGTTTTTTCTAAGATTATTTAAATAGTTACTCCATAAGTTTCAACAGACTTAAGCTGCTGGAAATGCAAGAGAACAAACAAATATTTATAAAAATAATTAATAAATCTTTTATAGATACTGTCTTTTTACTCCTTTCATTTTACCACTCAAGAACAGAAGGGAACTCCCTTCTGCTGGTCTGTGAACTCCCTTCTGCTGGTCTGTGTGACAAGAAAAAAAAAATGTGGACAATAGGAAAGGAAAGTGGTACAAGCTGGAAGAAGAAATGACATGTTATTTACAGCATGAAATGGTTGTGAATAACACTGAGAAATATGAATGCTCTCCCTGCCTAAATATCTCCTGGGTTTTCTACTCCACACAGATACTACTAGGATTTAAAAAAAAAAAAACCCCAAAACCTACAATTTTGGGGAGAAAATACATTTGATATCCTTTTAAAATATATTTTTAGAAGAAAATGAAAACCCAGAGTTTCTCTACAAATATTTAAACATTGTAAGTCTTTTAGAGAAAAAGTAATTAAACGCCCCAAGTCTGTCATAGTAAAATTGTCAAGTGATAGGATTACTTTTCAGAACTGAAGTAATGCTCTGCTTTTGGTATGAATGTTTGCTGACCTTTGCATTGCAGGATTCAATGTCAACCATTTAGACATAGCCCCAAGGTATGCCAGCATCTTAATGGGGATTTCTAATGGAGTCGGGACCTTGTCTGGAATGGTTTGCCCTATAATTGTCGGAGCAATGACAAAGAACAAGGTAAATGATAATACAGTTTTCAAATCTTCCCGTTTAATACTGTTGGTTTCAAGAACAAGACCTTCCCATAGTACAACTTGCCAGGATATCCATATTAGAGTCTGGGACTTCCAGGGCATAGCATCCAGGAACTTGCCAATGTGAAGCATGCTTCAGTGTATGCTCACCACGTCAGTGCTTTTTATAGGCTAATGAATAGTGATTTTTCAAAGATGGATATAAGTAATTGGAAACTGGACGCTTAAATGTTTTAGCTCTGCTGATTATCACAACCTCAATCCCTAATTTTAATCTTTCAGTTCAGAAGAGTTAAGTCTATGCACTAGTCTGATTTAGCAAATTTCTCCTTTACAGACACGTGAAGAGTGGCAGTATGTCTTCCTCATTGCTGCTTTAGTTCATTACGGGGGTGTTATCTTCTATGGCATATTTGCTTCGGGAGAGAAACAACCCTGGGCAGACCCTGAACAGACAAGTGAAGAGAAATGTGGCTTTATTCATGAAGATGAACTTGCTGAAGAGACAGGGGACATTACTCAGAATTATGTAAATTATGGTACCACCAAGTCTTATGGTGCTACAACCCAGGTCAATGGTGGCTGGCCTAATGGTTGGGAGAAAAAAGAGGAATTTGTACAAGAGGAAGTACAAGACTCATACAATTACAAGGAAGGAGATTATTCATAACAAACCTAAATATTGGGTATATTTTGTAGTGTTTGTGATTAAATTCATTGTGATTGTTTGCACACAGAAATAAAATGTGGTATAAACATGTAAACACATATCAAACAGGAAGGTCTTACTGTAAAAAAATACATCAAAGTGCAATCTGTATGAGTTGTGACATGTCATCACTTTCATTAGGTTATATTTGTTCTATAAACATTAGAGTTTTAAGGGTTTACTGGTCAAAACTATAGAGGCAATTAGATACTTACAGTATACAAGAGCTAAACTCATAACTAAGGATTAAAGCACAACTAAGCAACCAAGTTGGCACATCTAATGCTCTTTTTAGAAAGCCAAAATTACTTGATCATTAAAAATGCACTTATATATTTGTTACACTGTATTGAAAGAGATTGTGTTAAATACACACGTTTACTCAGTGCAATGTAGGAATTGTGTGTGTAGTCTAAGACAAGAGCTTTCGTAAAGAAGAAAGGTTGAGTCCTAGATATTTACAGAGGATTGATCCAGTTCCTTTAATGGTAATTGTATCAAGCCTAAAGAACAAATAGGGCATATTGTATGTTTATCGTGATTACATGCTGCAGGCTACTCTGTGATGAATAAAGGAATTATTTAGGAGTTTTATACTGAATGTTTGGGCACAAATTCTTATTTCTATTCTTTACAGAATCTTATGTAATTATAGGCATTGTCATGTTCTTCCCTGCATTTATCAACTAATATAAAAAATATATATATTAAGTCTGACTTTTCCTGCAGACTGTCAAGTCCCTTTATCAAAAAAACAAGCTTTATTATTCCATTCTTTGCAGTATATTCCAACTTTGTACTGGTGTCTTTAGAGAGAGAAAAAAACCAATATAACCTAGAAAAATATATAGTATTTTACAAAATTCCAAAGAGAAATTTACTATGTACAAGTAGCCCTAAGAAAAAGGATGTATTTCTTTTGCAGAATATTTTGAAGCCAATAGAAGAAACAGAGAATAATTTAACCCTTATTCTTCCCTTAATAGCTTTCATATTTTTACACACCGTGCCACAGTTGTATACATAGATATAAGTTTATTGAAGATACTGTAATTATAGAAAATGTTGCTATTTTAGAAATCCCTGAAATAAAAAAAAAATGTATTTGTCTTTCGATTAAACCTAATAATAATGGACACTGAATATGAGTACCATATAAACTCACAATAAACCAAAGTGGTAAATAACTAGTGTTGGGTTGAAAGAAGCCAACAAGCATCATGCTTGTCTCTAGCATAACTCAACAGTGACTGCAACATTAGTGTACCAAGCAATAAGTGCAATGCATTATGAAGTGCATAATCTTCTAGACTATATATTAACCTTCATTTAGCTTGTTGTATATATTTGGGGTTGTTGGGAGTAAACCAAACTGAACCAACTGAAGTTAGCAACACCAGACCACTTCTTAATACTCTAAAATGACAACTATGATCCATTTCTTAATTCAATCAAATGATTATTATTGTATGTAATAATCCATTCTGGATTCTTGGTCTGTTCATTGTATTGTGCTAGTGATTGGAAACCCTGCTACCGCAATATACAACTTGAGGATTGTTTCTTCTCCTTTTTTTTAATGCAAATCATACCTTGACCTTAAGAAAAAAGTATTTTGCTTTGTGCCTCAAAGTGATGTAAAATGTGACCATAGCTTTTGCTGTGTTTAATGAAAAAGATGTGGACCGTGTCACTTTTGTTGCTGCAAAAAGTGTTAATAAAATGCTCTATTTATCCTTTTATATAAAAAAAAGGACAACTGTAGTTTCTTGTCATTTTTTTAGATGTGCCTTAATATAGTTTACCAAAATTCTAGTCACTGCAGAACAAATTCTGCTATTGACATGGAGACAATATCTTATGACCCAGCTGGGAGCTCTGCTGGATACCCAGCATCTTGCACTGTCTGCTCTCTCCTCTGACCATGCACAGGTGTGTGGTGGGAGAGGAACCTAACTCTAGATTGTTATTCCTCCTCTCAGAAGGATGGCTGGAGTAGGCGTGGAAGAGAAAGGAGTAGGAGGATCAGTGTGCCAGCCAATGCAGTGCAACTGGGAAAGACAGACTAATCTGTGTTAGCTAAAAAACGGGCATGGATCAGCATTCTCTAAAGAAAATGAAAATCACCACAGATTGCTGTTCCTGGAATTTGTTTCCTTTATTGTTCCTGCAACAAGACTCCTTAAGTGAAACATAATGTTACGGTCCATCCACCTGTAGATAGACCCTACAGAAATCAGTAAATTCAAGACATCATAGATTAAAAGTATTTTTCTAGCAAAATTTTTAGTCTTCAGTAGTTTTCTTGCACAAAGTAGAAGAATGCAGAAACACCAAACTGAACAAAAGGCTGCAAAACGCTAGACAGAACAGTAATGGGCCCAGCGTTTCTCAGCTGATAGGCTAGTTGTCATAAGATGCTGAGTCAAGTAACACACAAAGTTACTACCAATTGTTCTGATGGACTGGTGTGACGTTGCCATGGAAAATTCTTGAAAGAGTCAAAAGTGGGATAAATAGGGGCTGTAAAAGTACTGTTGTATTTACCGGAGCAAGTGGACAGCTCAGAAAATGAAAACGAATTAACAAAATTAAAATCAATTCTTAGTTTTTGGTCTAATCTTAGATGTTCTCTATCTTTTGGAATTGTTTCAATAATTTCATTAAGTATAGGCTTTTTTTTTTTTCTTCTTAGCTTGACACTTTATAATTACTTAGAATAAAAGAGAGATTTTAATCCAGGCATTAGACACTGCACTGTTCAGCCATGCACAGCTCAGTGGGAACTCAACATTTGCCTATAAATGCTACACTGCTTGAAGATTCTTCATATTGTCTTTCCAGCTCTCTGCTTCTGCTTTGACTCTGTTACTGCCTTTTTAAATGGCGGTGCAGAGGAATCCGTTCTTCTGGGAAGGAAGACTAGCATGACAGGTTTTAAGATTTTTACTTCTTCACAGACACCCATTCACAGAAAAATACAGGAACCAATCATCAGGAACGTGGCTGAGAAAGAAGAAGGGGAAATGGAGAAAATAATTGGGTTCTTGCAAAGGATGATTAAATGAAGACAAGCAGCAACAGCTGGATCTGTTTCAAGGAAAAGGGGAGTTGAGAGGGCTTGACCCTTCACCTAAACTATATTTCTTCTCCATAAAGAAGTTTATGTTTCTGCCTTGCTACTTCATTTATATGAAGTAGCGCTGTTAAAATATATCTCTTCAGCCTCTTCTGAACTGTGCCCCTTCTGCCCAGAGATTTCTCTTCTGTGCGCAGATGTAAAGACCAGGTCTGCGGAGGTGTTGCACTTGTAAGGCGCAGTGTTCCTCTTCTGCAACTCTTAGCAGCTCAAACTCATCCCTGTTATCAATCAGACCGTGTTGACAGCCACTTGATTGTTTTGTGCTGTCACCTATCTCTGTTTTGTTCCCCTATCTAGTACTCAGTAGATCAACTACTATGTTGAAAAAAAGGAAAAGAATTTTTACTCACATTTTTATTTATCACTTATCTTTTCAGTAAAGAACAGCAAATAAAAGGAAGGGGCAGAATCCAGACTCCATTAAAATAATTAGAAGAGCTTTGAGTTTAGATGGGCTAGAATATCACCTCTAATGTTCACCTTTATGTCCTGTCCTGGTTTCAGCTGGGTTGAAAAACTAGAGCTATCTTTTCTTCTTAGTAGCTAGAATAGTGCTGTGTTTTGGATTCAGTATGGGATTTGGTATGAGAAGAATGTTGACAATATACTGACGATTTTAGTTGTTGCTATAAAATCAAGGACTCTTCCCCTTCCCTTGTTCTGTCCATGTGCAGGTGCACAAGAAGCTGGGAGAGGGCACAGCCAGAGCACCAAACCCAAACTGGTGATTGGAACACTCCGTATCATGTAACGTCATGCTCAGTATATAGAGGAGGGTGGGCTGGGAAGCAGGGGCCCTCTCTCATCCAGGATCACAGTTTTGGGATTTTCTCTCCTCTAGGATCCCTAGCTGAGAGTGAGCTGGGCATTGGTCAGTTGGTGGTGAGCAATCACACTGTGCATTACTCATTTGCATATTCTATTATTACTGTTGTTCTTATTATTATTTTAATTTATTTTACTTCAATTATGAAACTGTTTTTATCTCAACCTGTGAGTCTTCTTACCTTTACTCCTCCAATTCTCTTCCCCACTCCCTGGGGCAGGGGAGGGTGAGCGAGCAGCTGTGTGGTGTTTGGCTGCTGGACAGGTTTAAACTATGCCATGTCCTCAAATGATTTCATACAGATAGTACATTTCAACCCGTGACAATTCTTTAAATATTGGAATCTGCATTGGTCAGTTCCCTTCTATTAACACATACCTTTCTTGCAGAGATAAAGCTATCATAAAGTGCTCTTTGCTTTCAGAAGTGATCATGAAATTCAATGGACCAGATTTCATAAAAACACTTTTCTATGGGGGAAAAGAAAGACTCAAGGTAAAGGTTGAATAACAGTGACAAAAGAATATCTGCAAATATGAATGGAGTCCTCTTTCAGCATGAAGCTAGGAATAGGAATGAATGTGGAAGTCAGAATAAATGTCACAGTTCAAAGCCGTACTGCTAGAAAGATAACATCACAGTCTTAGATGCTGCCTCTGAAAGATGAAATGTTTTGTTCCTTTCAGGATAAGCTGTGAAGGAGTTTGAAGGCTAAAATTAATCTAAGTCTAGATTAACTACTTAACAGCAGCTGCTTTTGTACTTATTTGCCTGTGTTTTTTGCTTGAATAATTTTCATTGCACTGGGAGATTTAAGAGCAAATAACCAAAGGACCTAAAACTACAGTAAGATATTTTAATTTGATGTCTATGTATATCCTCTCTGATCCAGCTAATGTGCCTGATGTTGCTATTCTAGCTTTGCTTAACACTTTTTCACTCTGTTGTAAGACAAAGCATGGCAAAGAATGAAATGTATTATATATTTAGATAAGCAGAACTACTGAAGTCTGTGTACTTATACTGAGGTCAAGTGTTTAGACAGTATCATCTTCCATGTTTGAGAATTAATGTTACTAAATGATTGTTGGCAAATGCCTCTTTGGTAAAGGCTTTTAACATTAGATACATATAATCCTTGCTTTAGGTGAAGCTGCGTTCTCTCAGATGCCATGGGTGTGGCATTAGAAAACAATACAAAATACGATTTTGAGCAACCGTCCAACCTTTGGCAGGCTCTTATCTGTAAGAAAGTAAGTAAAGAATAAGTATGAAATGCAGATGCAATGTCAAACATAAGATATAAGGCTAAATTAGAATTACAGAAAATATTGTAGGAAGTTTAAGGAAAAGCTTACAGAACAGCTGTCAAATTTCCCCACTTTGCTCACGGCAGTAGTGAGAAGAAAAAACTGAATATGAAGTCCTAAATAACTGGTCCACCCTATCCTGAGTCTAAGATACAATCAAAAGTTGGCTCAGAAGCAGATTACCACGCTCTGGCTGCACCCTACCTTGTCATTTAACATAGCTTGTAACACATTTTTGTGTCAGGGCCATGAGGCACTTGTAGCCCTTCATTGTCTTGAGCATCCTGCCCTAGAACTCTGACTTGCACCCCCATCCATGACCCAGGAGCCCCATTTCAGCTCAGGGCTGAGATTCCCTGTCTCTGGTCTGTCTCCCGAGTAGAAGTTGGATCTATGTGTTCTTGTCTCCAGCCCTGTTCTGGCCCACCTCCTGTTGCTCCTGAGAGGGCTCTCTGGATGGACCGTGGACCTGATTCATTCCTTGCTGTCTCTGAGACCATCAGTGGAGTTAACATCCTGCGCTGCCCACGCTGCACCCTGGTCCATAATGGCATAGCCAGCACCTGGGTTACCCTTGGCTCATGGCTCATGTCCCTAATGAGCTGCCCTTCCTACTCCTCCTGCTCCCCATTGGACACTTTCCTTGTTGCGCCGGTGACAGTCCAAGGAAACTTCATATATGGTCAATTCAGAATCCTGAAATGAAGCATTTTTGTCAGTCTCTGAAGAAGCAGAACCACGTCTAATGATTCCATCATTATTTTCTTAAAATACAATGAAACATACTGGTGTGTCGGGCAGGAGATTTAACCTGTTAGATACCAGAACATTCTGCTTCATTAGTAGTAGGGTTTGGATTGCTACTTCAAGTCTGTCTCTCTCACAGAGGTATTCTGCCATCATGGATATGCTCATGGTACCCGTTCCCTTTTCCAGGAGAGCTATGTTTCATTCATCAGTGTGTCTTGAAGGAACTGAATCGAGTTTTTATCCTTGCACCAACTGCAGGCTTTCTTCATTGTGTACAGGAAGCTGCGATTACTATCCTCAGCCCTTCTGCTGGAGATGATCAGCATTTGCCTGCACTTTAATGAGCTTTCCAAAACTGATTTATCTTTACACTACCTCTGGCTGGGCACTGCTGTACGATGGCATAGTGTCTGCTCATAAAAGTATGCAAGCAAATGATGTTCTTGAGCTTTGCATGAAGAGTCAGCAGTTAAAACGGATAGTTTGCAAAACTGGCGATCAAGGCATTATAGAGTAACACAACCTTGTACGACTGACAAGGAGTTGATGACGAGGTGTTTCTCGTACCCTGAGGATCAAATGGCAGGTTCTGTTCACAGAGAACAGTGAATGAGATGTACATTTGACATGGGCAAACAGTACAGCTATATTTGGTTTATCAAGATCCCAGTTCATACTAAGCAGTATGAATTCGTTGACATCTACTCTGACTGTGACACCTTGAA